TATATATATATATAAATAAATGTATGAGTAAAATATTTTTAAGAAATAAAATTATATTAATTTATTTTTTAAATTATATCAATTTATTAAAAAATATATAACTAACTATAAATACTTTTTTACTTAATATATTATTCATTTTACATAAAATATACAGTGTGTGCATAATTATTATGCAAGCTTATATTCTGATCATATTTTTTTCCCAGCACATTTTACCAATTCCTCATGGGCATTTAATAATTTTTGACTTTTCAGTCTGAGGTTAATCTCTTTTTGGCTCATTTTATCTATAAAGAAAAGCTGCTTAATAATTATGCACACCTGAATATAAGGAGTTTTTCACTTCCAGCCTTCATAGACAATTAGATATCACTTATAAATTATTAAATACAAAATTATTAGTAGTAATTATGATTGATGTCGTTCGGAATTGGTAAAATGTGCTTGGGGGAAAAAACATTATCAGAATATCAACTTAACAATAATAATTATGCACGCACTGTATACTTTTAAAAACACACAAATGGCAAAAATGTATAATTAATTATTTTTAAATAAAAATAAATTGTAAATAGAGTGAAACTATTCATTTTTAAAAACTGAAATAAAACAAAAATAAATATTTTATTCAATATATTATAAATGCTACTACACAATGCACTCACACATGCACGCACACACATACACACACATACATATATGCATAGTAAAAAAACATACTGGTTGCAACACAAATATCTAAAACATAAGCTACAAAAACATGCTAAAATATTCCCTACAATAACTTTCATTAACTTATTGAGTGCCTTTATATTATATTGTTGTCTTGGCATAAATTGCCCTCTTTTTATAAATGATTTGTTGCTGTATTATAAGTTGGCCGTTTTCTACAGCATTTTGATGATATTACAAACCATTCAGTGCTCTGTCTGTGCTTTCAGGGTTTCAGCGTAGAGATTAACTCAGGTTAATGGGTTGAACTGGACTCTCACCTTCCATGATGGATATGTGGCGATATCACACGAGTGACGAGCGAGAGCAATATCACACGAGTTTAAATGTGATTTTATACAACAGTTCAGTAAATAAGAAGTTGATATTGTGTTATATTTTAAACACAATATTATGTGTTTTTGCTCAATTTTGCAGAGAACCTTTAAAGTCACAGCAGAACTGTTGTGCGTCTCCGAGCAACATAGTTTAGTTCCTGAATGAATCCGCATTTTGAACAAATCGTGTGAATCAATGATTCAAAGACCCATCCATGAGAGAGCCGTTTACTTCATCCCTGAACGAATCACTCATAAAGACATTTACCGCCACCTGCTGGCAGATTTAGTTTCTTATTTAGAGTATCATTTCATAAAAATAATAACTAGCCTATATAAAATATAATAATAATAATAACATTAAAGGGATAGTTAGCCCAAAAAATGTAAATTATGTCATCATTTACTCACCCACATGTCGTTTCAAACCTTTCTTTTGTGGAACATAAAAGAAGGTATTTTGAAGACTTGGTAACAAAGCTGTGTTGGTTACCAATGATTTTCACTGTATGAACAAAAAATATACTGAGATGTTTCTCAAATCATCTTCTTTTATGTTCCATTGTTACGTTAGGCTGTTGTAGCCTAAATGTGTAATACATTTTATGTTTAATCAAATAAAATATTTCTTTCTAAAGCTACAATTTGTAATGTCTACTTGATACTTTCTCGTTTAACACAAAAACAGCTTTAAATAATCTTTTGTGGGTATTTTCACAGGCAAATTTATTTTGCAATTAATTAGATTAATTAATCGAAACATCATGTAATTAATTAGATTAAAAATTTTAATCGACTGACAGCCCTAATTATATTATAAAATACCTGCACACTGTATATACGGCTGGTTGAGGCTGTTTTGACCAGCTTCATCTATCAATACCAACCAAAAGAAAACAGCTCAACCATTGAGGATAAAATAGCTACGCTTTCCAGCCACGTTCAAACCGCTGGCATTTTGGTGGGAATTGTGATACCTGTGACTGTGAGGAATGGTGACCGCTGCTACTAGAGTCCATGAAGCTCAGGAATTAGATTAACCTTATTGAGTCCCCTCTCTTAACTCAATCTCTGCCTCTCAGGCTGTGACTGAACTACTTCTCTTGAAACAAAACCTCTTAAAATCATGCCTGTCTCCTTACATAGGAGTGAGAAAATAACTGTTATCAATTTCCTAATGAGGTGTTTGAGCCTGAGAGCCCACTATAATAATTGATCGTGCTGTTTGTTTAATTGCCCCAATGACTCGATTCATCTGTTACAATTGCAGTTATTAAGTAAACGTCTGTGTCTAAAAGGTGGCCTGTGTGAACAGCTCCATCCGCAGCAGGTTGTGGTGCATTGGCTCCAAAGCAGTCACCTCTATGTGACCGTGATGAGGACAGCAGGCTGTTTTTGGAGCAGGGACCCCCGAGGCTGTGGCGGTCCGTCGGCAGTGACCCGTGCTGTGTCTGTCTGTCTGTCCACACTTACCTGTAGCGGAAACGACTCCCCTTGAAGAACAGGTTACTGCTGGACACCGTACGAACCTGGCTCGACTTATCCAGCCTGACGAGGGACAGAGAGGAATGATTAAGCTCTGAACATGCACAAAAAACACATTTACACATTTGTATGAAACTAGAAGTCAAATAAAAAGGATAACACAACACAGTATTTCAAAACTACAGTCTGAATTAAGAATAATTTCTCTTTTAACTCTTTTAAGCACAAATATGACATTGCTGTTATCAAATATGTTCAAACTTTCTAAGATTCTTTAGTATTTTTTTTTTAAGATTCATTTTATAAATCTGTATTTAGAGTTCTATGCAGTGGTAGACGATACATACACAAACAGGTACTTGGCGTACAAGTACGGATACCCTAAAAAAAATCACTCTGGTAGAAGTATGCATAGCCCTTTACGATTTTAGTTGAGTAAAAATTAAAAAATTAAAGTATTACAAGTAAAAAGTACTGGACCAATTCAACAGGCTTATTGAAAATAATCAGCTTGTTCACAAATCAGACACTGCTATTGCGTGGTGAAATTATGAATTAATGTTAGATTTTAAAATGTAAAGTAAAAGTTTCCCAAAATACAAATATTTAAAAAAAAAAAAAGATACTCAATACAGATACAGACAGAAAAATTTACTTAAGTACAGTAACTAAGTAAAAATGTGTCCACCACTGGTTATATGGTGGCATAAACTAATCTGCAACTGTAGAAATTTGTTAAATACATGTGTTTCTATACTTGGTTCTATACTTCTATACTATGGTAGAATATTACAGTATTTGCTATATTAGTTATTTATCTAAAAAAAATTTAAAATTTTATTTACAAATGTTGTAAAATTAAATTAACATAAAATTTATTTGATGTGTGGACACAGGTTTGTGTATATTAGCTACAATGTAAGACTTCAAATACCACTCATCTAATCATAATTCAGAATTTCTTTTAAATTTCCAGTATAAATTTTACAATCCTTGGTTTTTAACTCTAAACTGTTTTACATTAATCAATTGTTATAAATAATTGTATATTTTAGTTTGCATTCATAAACTTCCAAAATAAAATTACCTAAATTAGATTAACTACTTTTCAATTGTATTTAATTAATTTCATTCAGAAGTATTTTATACATTATTTAATTAAAATTATTTAAAAAGTATTTAATAAATAAATATCCAAAGTTCTGTCATGAAACTCTAGATGGCGCAGTACGATAGGTCTAACTCAATATGACATAATTATCACATGGCGCAGCTGATTGGTTCTTTATTTATCAGCAGCCAATGTGCTCACTGCTCAACATTCAAATACTTGGCTAGTGCTTGCTGTAGCAGTTGCAGCATGTTTCAGAAAGCCTCCACCCTCCCCAGCTCCACCTGTATAGATCTGCTACGAGGTGATTCATGTATGCTACATATGGGGGTTATTTCATATATGTTATGTGCAGCAGCAGTATTTCTTACATGCTCACAGCAGCATGTTGTGGATGTATTGGCAGTAGCAAGTCTCGGTACTTGTTCTGCCGCAGCAGCAGCAGTAGCAGATCTATTCCGCCAAGACCAAACACATTAACATTGTCATGTACATTACCATGCTGAACCCTCCGAGAGTTGTCATGATAGAAATAAGTTTGTTGAACTCCAAGCAAAACAACATTATATCACATTACAGTTAAATAAAATTAACTATTTATTATAAGTCAGATTTTGTGATATCACCTAACCCACTGACATGCTCAAAATGTTTGGTTTCTAAAGCTAGTACATATTTTCTATCTAACCCTCCTAGTGACTGAAACCTCAGGCTGAGCTTGAGTGTTCTGACTCAGACGGTCTCTGGTGAACATTTGTTTCAGGCTTTTCATCACCAGGTGTGGGATCTCCTTCCCCATAGACGGCCTTTATATGAATCATAAAACCCACTTTTCAATTATCATCTGCCTTCACCTGCCACAAATTCTCCTTCTCTATGGGACTTTAACTACAGCTACAAATTTCTCTTTGCCCCAGTGGAATGAATTCAGTCAGACTTGGAATACCATGTAGATTCAGTTTTGATAAGGCACCTTGCCAAATCAATGATTACACCATTCCCTTCACCTAAATTGAGCTTTCCCACACTTCATGATGAGCGCTGAAACAGACTCTCGTTCCAAAGATGTCACCTCAGTCAGCCAAAATTGTTCATCATAAAACGGAGACAAAAACCAGCGGTGGCTCGCCATGTTATGAAACTGGGCTCTCCTTTTAGAAACCTGAAACACTGCGGTCTGCCTCGAGCTGCACGTTGCTTTAAACGCTTCCCATGGTGTGGCCAAGGACACGTACAATCAACCGTGACTGAAATGCGCACGGACATCCCTCCAGAGGAGCTAGCAGAATGCATCTCTCATTCCTCACGCGGTAAAGGTCATTCTCAACACGTGGCTGTTCCTTTAGATGACCCCCGCGAGGTAAAAACAGTGACAGCATCTAGACGTAGGTGTCCAGACTCTTGCAGAAGTGTCTTGCATTATTAGTTATTAGTCAGCTTATTTACCAGTCTTAAATATCATGCTCTGGAGAGACGAAATGACAGTGTTTGCCATTAGGAACAGCCAAAAAGGGACAAATTATTTCTAGAACTTTTTTATTGTGCAGTTGCCCTTTCAGAAGCATCACACCTGTCTAACCAAACAAATATATTCATCTCGAAGGAAGGAGCAGTGCAAAAACTCACTTGTAGAAGGCTTGATTTTCAACACCGCATTTCCAAAGGTGCTTGCAGGCCTCTGGAGTTGGTGCAAAGTATGTCAAGATGATCTTTTTGTCCTGTGCATAACAATAAGTCATTAAAGGTGCACAAATGCGGCACTGTCGAAGAGAATTATTAAAGTTTCACAGATTGTGTCATAATCATAAGACAATTTGGTATATTGTAATTATCTTTGACTTCAATGTTGGCATATTTAGTTTTCTCACCTCCTTCTGATTTGCATATATATGGAATGTCTTTCCCTCAAACTTCAGTTTGGTCACCTCGTCCCTGTTCAAGTGGAAGAAGAATGCATATATTAAGATATTATAATGTATATAAATTTAGAATACACACACACACAAATGTTATGTAAATATATGTAGTTCATACATATGTAGTATTATGTATAATTGTATATAAATAATTGTATATACCGGTAAATAAAGAAATAAATGATTAGCTATGTATAGAGACTACATGAATAATAAATGAAAATTATGTGATTTTTAATGTAACATCATTGTCCATGTTGTTCTATCTATCTATCTATCGACACAAACATGTTTTATATGTATTATTTGAGATATATATATATTGGATTATGTAATAAAGTGTTATTTACAATTTGGTATGTGTGTATATATATATATATATATATATATATATATATATATTAGTGGTGTCAAAATTAGCGCGTTAACGCTTTTTCAGTTTAAAAATATTTAACGCAATTAACGCAGGGGCAGGGCTAGGGTTGGCCACCCCGCTCTCAACTGCTGTGTCTG